TTTCTTTGTTATGTTTTGTTCAGGACATATACTGTACCTGCACTGAACTGCCTATAGGCATTGCTCTATGTTACAAATAAATGATTTATACAATGTACAGTATTATGAGATGATATTTATATTATATATAGTATATTCAGATGAAATTCATATGAAAATATAAGAACCTATTTTAAGAACCTTAGTAGCCTAAATTTGCTTTAAGTACCATTTATATAAGAACCTATTTAGGCTAAATTGAAAAATTCAGGTTCTTATAAGTGGGCTATTACTGTATATTATAATTTAGCAGGAGTAAAATTTCATATGCCCAACCCCCTGGAGCAAATGTCCGCCTATTGTTCAGGGGGAAGGGGTACTGCAAATTAATGAAATTAGTGTTGATCAGATCAAGAGAAACATTTCCGGTCCCCCATTCAAGTAGACCTCTAAAATCTTATTACTAATAAACATAATTTGGACCGTCGAAAAGGGACTTAGATTCACTAAAAACAGAGTATTTACAAATATAGCTCAAAAAAGCTGATAAGGCTATGTTTGTATTGGACAAATGCATAGATCCAGAATAAATAGAAATTCATCCGAAGAGTAACACCATCACATGACTCTACTCCACATTAGATAAATGTAGCTGATACACTGGATCATCACAGCTATATCACTTACAGGCAATGTTTACTTTCTTCCACATCAAGATCCTGAAAGTATATATTCATCGACCTGCCTTCTGGAATAGGATATGCCGATATCTTGTCCGTATTCCTTGGGTAGCTGTAAGGATATCCTTCACTGGTCAGAAAGCCGATCTCTGGGCCATATTCTGTAAATACAAAGACGGTTTTTGTATGTTTCTTCAACGTTACAAGGCGCACATTTTAACCGACATTTTAGGGGAATGGACATCCATTAACAAAGGCCTAGCAGAAATCTCTCGCAGCTTAATTTAACCAAACTTGATATGACTTGAAGGATGAGAATTCATGTTTACTTTATTCCATTGTAATATAATAAAGTTGAGTATAGAATGGAATAAAACTGTTCTCATGGACATCTGCAAAGTTTGGACATCGAGGTTTAGATTAAGCAATTGAGTACTTTTTCCGTGTTTATGTAGCCTCATCTAAACACGTAAAGGCTGGGAAAATTCGAGATAGTTACTCAAACCCAAGACGCAGGTCCAGGGTTTGCGAAACTTTTGAGAATTCTTTCAACTCCCCAAGTGTTTAGATGAAGCTACGTAAACACGGAAAAAGTACTCTATTGCTTTTATAAAATAGCTCTTAAAAATACGTGCGGATCTTAAACGTCATATGCAACCGTGTTTACATACGCTCATTTAAACACGCCTATCGACCAATCAATGGGAGTGCGCGTACTATCTCAAGTATTTTATGAAATCTCTTTTAAAAGTAATTATTTGGCCATTTCTACAATTCATTGACTCCTGACACCCAGCATTGTCCAGAGGGGGCTGGGGAGTAAATTGCATTCTGGTTTTTAGGGAAACATAACAGTGTCTCAAGCGTTATGGCCAGGATTGAAGGCATTCATGATCAAGATGTGTCCTTAAATGCGATCACTGCATGAGATGTCCATTAATTCAAGAGATGCTATGGCCAACAATTAGTTAGAAAGAACTCTTTGATAACAATATGGACAGCATGGAACTTCACTTTAAGTTATAGTCTCCAACCTGTTCATTTTTTGCAGTACGGGTGCTTAGTGCTTTGCACCCGGAGGGCCATTACAGGGCGTTTTCTCGAAGTTTACCTGGGACTCACTCTCAAGCATTGTACTTTATTTGAC